CATTGAAATCAACCAAGTATAGATTCTCATATATAAATCCTTTGAATATCAAGTTAGAGCCATCTACACTTATGATCTCTACATCATCCATACCAAATATGTACTTGAAACCAAGATCACACAATTGAGCTACCGACAATAGGTTGAAGTTCAAGCTCTCTACTAGTAGCACATTGGAAATGCTCAAGTCATTGGATATTACAATCTTACCAAGACCTTTGACCTTGCCTTTGCCATTGTCACCAAATATGATACTATTAATCATGTTGCTCTTATTTACATTGATTGAATTAAACATCCTTGAATCACTGGTCATGTGTTGTGTGCACCCACTATCAAGCACCCAATGCTTTCCTCCGACTTTATAATTGACCTATAAAAGAATATCAATTCTTTTTAGGTATCCAAACTTGCTTGGGTCCTTGAAGGTTAGTTACCAAGGTCTTTTGTACCCAAATGGCCTTCTTCTTTGGGCCCACAGTTGGTGTACCAATGAACTTAGCCTTCACATCATTGGTACCCTTAACAAGCATGTAACAAGAATCTAATCTAATTAAGGAGACATTATGTTGCTTGTTCTTGTTAGTCTTGTAATATTACTCTATATGCCCAACTTGCTTGCATCTATTGCAAAACCGACCATTGCCCTTCACAAAGATAGCTTTGAGAGTGACAAAGGCCGCCTTGCCTTTCTTGGAGGTATAGCCTAATCCCTCTTTATTGAGAGAAAATCTTTGGCTACCCAAGCACTTTAGCAAGCGGGCATCTCCACCATAGGCATTGTCTAAGGCACGAGTGAGCTCATTCACCTCCTTCTTAAGGGTCTCATTTTTCACCATTAGTGAGGCATCACAAGTGAAACCATCACTTAAAGATGAAGTAGAAGTGGTAGTGCTATAAGAATGGTTAGTGCAAGCAACAACAATTGGCTTATAAAAAGATTCATTAAGAATATCACATGTTAGTCCCACATCACATGACACAATCACTTGATTCGTCTTGGCTTACTCCTTCTTGACTTGCTCGAGGAGAGAGGAGTGAAATTTTTCAAGCTTAGTGTGTGCCTTGCCAAGCTCTTCATGGTCTTCCTTTAGACTCTCATGAGAAGCATTGAGCTCATCAAATGATTGCTCAAGAGATTTGATCTTTTTGAGCAATTCTTTGCACTCATTTCTTTTCTTCTCAAAGCAAGTGTGTACTTGCTCACACATGTCCAAGAGCTCTTCCTTAGTGTACTTCTCATCATCATCGCTCCTACAATCATCACTATCACAATCATCATCACTCACATCATATTTTACTTTGGTGGGCTTTGCCATGAGGCATGTCGATGGAGTGTCGAAGATGGAAGGCTTGTTGTTGATGGCGATGCTTGCTAGTGCCTTCTTGATGAATTTCTTGTCATCATCACTAGAGCCATCACTATCCAAAGAGCCATCACTATCCCATGTTACCACATAGCCTCCACCATTCTTCTTCTTTTGGAAGGTCATCTTTTTCTCCTTCTTTTCCTTCTTGTCCTTCTTATGCTTCTTCTTCTTATCCTCATCATTATCACTATTATAGGAACAATCCGCTATAATGTGATTCGGGCTCTTGCACTTGTAGCATCTTCTCACATACTCCTTGTTGTGATCTCTTCTCTTTCTTGCACCATAGCCCTTCTTGTTCATGAACTTACCCATCTTGCGCACAAGGAGAGCCATGGCCTCATCATCAATGTCACTAGCATCTTCATCGTCACTTGATTCTTTCTTGGACTTGCCCTTATTCTTGGATGATGAGCTAGACTTAAATGCTGCACTCTTCTTCTTCTTGTCTTCATCTTCCTTCTTCTCATCCTTGTCAACCCCCTCCCTTTCCACACGGTATGTCTCTTGTGTCATGACATCACCTAGTACTTAGTTAGGGGTGAGCTCCTTCAATCCTCCTCTTATGATGAGTAATATCAACATCTCAAATCTTGAAGGTAAGCACATCAAGAACCGGTGAGAGACATCATCGTCATTGATTTTCTCACCCAAAGCCTTCAAATCATGGACAATCACTTGCAAATGATGGAACATCTCTGGAATGCTCTCATCATCCTTCATCTTAAAGCATGTTAACTTGTCCTTAAGAATGTACAACTTGGCACTCTTCACCGCCGGTGTACCCTCATAGGTCTCTTTGAATCTCTTTCACACCTCACTAGCTTTCTCACAATCCTTGATTTGCTTAAACACCTTGGAATCAATGGCATTATAGGTGGTGTTGAGAGCCATTGTGTTGCATTGCTTGGTGGCCTTATCTTGGTTGGTGTGATTGGTGGGATCAAGAATCACATAGTCACTCTCGGTCACATCCCACACTTGATCATTGATTGAACCAAGATACATCTTCATCTTTCTCTTCCAATAATTATAGCATGTGCCATCAAAGAATGGTAGTTTGCCCTCCACATGGTTGAACACAACTTGAGCCATCTTTTGACACCGAGGTTGTTAAGCCTTCAATTAAATGGTCACCACGGCTCCGATACCACTTAAAAGGTCCTAATGTGGCTAGAGGGGGGCAACCTGAGGTCTAGTTGTGGGAGCACCAGTGCTGGGACGGGCCGTGGTCTTGGTGAAGACCAGGGTGAAAATAGTCGTGGCGATGATCATGGCAATGCCAATGGAGAGAGCCATGAGGCCCCATTCCTTGGTCCTCCTCCTCCACCACCACCACCTCCGATGACCCATGCCGAGATGATGGCTGAGATGTTAGCTGCTCATCGTGAGTCAGCCCGTGCCTTGGAGATGCTGGCATAGGCTATTGGTGGCTTCGCCCGTGGAGGCCCCAGTGGTAATGGCGGGAACGGGGGTGGTGCCCGCGGTCCATTGAGGCCCTGTTCCTATCAGGACTTCTTGGGGATACACCCGCCCACATTCACGCCGACTACTGAGCTTCTGGACGTGGAGCATTAGCTTCATATTCTGGAGCAGAAGTTTCAGCTGCTCATTATAACTGATGAGCAGAAGGTACGCTTTGCCGCACAACAGCTTCTAGGATCTACCAGTGCTTGGTGGGACACTTTCAATGCCATGTAGCATGTGGACCACCATGTGACTTGGTGGGAGTTTACCACTGCTTTTCGTTAGTACTACATTCCTGCTGGTTTGCTGAATAGGAAGCTGTCCGAGTTTCTAGAGCTGAAGCAAGGAAACATGACTGTGGTGGAGTATGTGAACAAGTTCAACCATCTTACGCTGCTAACCCTTGCCATCCCATTGCCCGCTGCCTACATGCACCGCTCGCACCGCACATGGCCCAGCTACAGCCGTGCTACCACGGCATAGGTCCTGGCCACCGCTGCCCTATCCCGTCTAGCCGGCCGGGCCTACCGCTGCCGCCGCTGTCGCGCTGCACGGCTCTGCCACACTTGGCCTGCTGCGGCCGGCACATGGCCCTGCCCGCACCATCGCCTTGCTGCATGTGGGGCTGCCCCCCTTGCCGCCATGCCATTGTGTCGCCATTTATGGTGTCGAAGCCGCTGTCCACGTCCCGCTTGGGCAGGACAGTCCGAGCTCCGACTGTCCCTCCCCTGCTCCTTGTCGTTTCCACCTGACGCGACACCGCCCCTATGTCTGGTAGGGAGGAGTCACCATTGCTCGATGACCCGGCTTCTCTGGCTCCGCATTTACTCCTCTAGTCGGCCAGACTTGCCTCTCCCTCCCACTCTTGGCCTGTCATGGCCATCGGCCAGTCTTAAAGCTGAAGGTATCCCCAATGGCGCGAACTACCCCTCCTTCGAAATTCATCATAATCCAATCACCTCCGTCCAATTAACCATGAACCCAACTAGCTCTGGTGGTTAGCTCATGATTGGACTTGACCCGACGAGCCTTCATCCTCCAGTGAGGTACTGCGGAGCATTCCCCCCACGGCGGTCCACCATGGGCGTCGAGGTGCGTGTTCAGCCAGGGCGTCGCTCCTTGCTCCTTTGTCTCAATTGAGCGGTGCTTTTGTGTCTCCTTGACTTGGTTGCCTCTCCTGTGAAACAGTGACACCAGGGGTGCAGCGAGTCACCGAGAACATTGTCGCCATGCTTGTCGTGAACCAGAGCAACCCCGCGCACGTGGCCACCCCCCTTGCTGAGCCGCACGACTTTGTCTAGGCCATCCTACATGTCTTTGGTGAGGCCCTCCAGCTCCTAGGGTAGGTGGTCGAATCGGTTAAGGCCTAGGCTCGCAGGAGCGCATGGCCATCACCGGCAAACGCGGTTTAGGTGTCATTCCCGTGGCCAGCGCGTTTGGGTGTAGTAGCGATTCAAATAGGGTTTCTGTCTTGTTTCCCATAGCCTATAGATGGATAAAAGGGTAGAGGTAGAGGCATTGGGCTAGGTGATTTCCCCAGCGCTGGTGTTGCCGTGGCCAGACCCCACCACGGCGCATGGCCACATCTACGCGCTGCACCATTTTTAGTGTTTGATACCTCGCTCGCACTATAACACAACATACTTTTGCCGACACTTTCTATTGTAGGCAAAGGGCACCTTTGTCGACAGATAACCTCCCGCGAAAAGTTTTGCCGACAGTTTAGAAACAGTCGCGCTAGAAGCCGTCAGCAAAACTTTTGCCGACAGTTAACAGAATCCCCGACACTTTATGTGTAGGCAAACGGTCTACCTACGCCGACAGTTGAAACCTTTGCCGACAGTTAACCCTTTGCCAACAGTTAAGACCTACGTCGACAATTAAGACCTTTCCCGACAGTTTATATGTTGGCCAAACCATTTCTAAGGTATTTTTCAAACCATACCCTGCCAAAAAAAAATATCGGCAAAACTGCATAGATATAATTACAATTAAAATAATTTGACAAATCCACTTTTGCTCATATAGAAGGCATCACATTGAACAAATTCACTTGATTTTTGTATAAATAATATATTAGATCTTCCATACATACACCAACTTGATATAGAAGTTATCGCACGAATGTTGTCTTTCCATCTCAATTAGCTGATCAGCAACAAGCTATGAAGGCTGAAACCACAGATCTTTGAGTTCTATAACTTTCTTGATCTCCTTCTCAATCTTGATAACCACTTCTGCTATTTGACTAAAAACCAAGACATAATGTGACGCTTTAACGAAGTACTTCTTCAGGAACCATTCTTCCTCCATTTGAAGTGTGTGATATGAGTACTTGTCCATTACATCCTCAACATGATAGGCTACCTTTTGTACTTCCCCAATCCAACCCTTGACGACTTCATCAGTGAGGTATACTGTGCCAATCTTACGACATTGTTCATGGCTGTCAGTTGCATTCTTATTAACTCGATCTTGTCATTCAGATCCTTCAGATTATTAACCTTTTCCGATAATTTGGACAGCATTTTCTTGGCAGTTTCATCTGCTAAAACGCTACCAATCTTTGTCAGAGCAAGGAGTACTGCTTCTGCCATTTCTGCTGAAGAAAATAAAAAAATCCTATTACAGAACATAATGATGAATGCCATCGAAATGTACAGGTTTGAGTTTGATTTGCACGTCCAGACAGCAATTTCTTCTATGGAGCCATAACTACCGGTTTTCCTAGATAATTGTGGCTTCTTTGATATTTAATTCTAATACTTACTGCATGGATGTGTAACTTGTTCTTTGTATTTACATACAAAAATGCTAGGCTTGGTGATGTGAAGACAATCATACCAATCAACAGAGGACACTGCGTTAGTACAAAAGAAAATAGATGCAAAAACTTCATTGCCTGAGATCTAATAGGCGATAGTTAGTGGCTCATGGAGTTCTCCAATGTGGCCTCTAAAGTAGAACCTGTTAGAGTATTTACTTCCTCTGTTCTTGTGCCGCCATCTTCTGGCTGGCTTAAGCCCTTTGGGCTCTCCCATGTATGCATTAATCTCCTCTAGATATGTGCCACCTCTTCCAGGCTGGCTGGCCCTTTGGGCTCTACTCCTCTCTATATATGTAAACCTCCTCTGTTATTCAATAATCAATCACAATAGCCTGTTAGGCTTCGTTCTATCATGGTATCACGCTAAATTCGATCCCCACCCCACCTCTTCCATACCTCTCCCCTCGGCGCCCGCGCCCGTCTCCTCGGCCCCCGCGCGACCCCTTCGTGTCGCGCGCGCACCGCCTCTGACGGCCGCCGCGCCAGCCCGCCCCCATGGCCGGCGACCCCTCCGCCAGCGGCATGACGACCGCCTCCGCGGCTAAGCTCTGCGATGAGGCTCTGGCCGCCGCCAAGTCCCTGGAAGACGAAGCCGTCTCCTTGCGCTCCATCAACAGCGCGCGCAGCAAGCAGCTCGAGGAGGAGGCCACACTCCTCAAGTCTGCCGCCGCCGCCCAGGACAGCGTCTGTGCTGCCGCCGCCGCCCTCGATCTGGAGCGCACGCAAGCCGACGCCCTGGAGCAGCAGGTCGCCGCCCTTCCTGAGCACCTCTGTGGCGACTCCCTCCGGGATGACTCCACCATGAACGGCGACGACTTTTCCATCAACTCTGAAGCAGAGGCCATCGCCCGCCTACACAGCCAAGCCGCTGCAGTCCAAAACATCAAGAACTTGATTCCAATCGTTCTGGACCTACAGTCCTCCAACTACTCCAAGTGGCGTGGCTATGTCCTCCTCATCCTCGGCCTCTTTGCCCTAAAAGATCATGTCCTCAGCGACGTTCCTCACCACACTGATCCGGCTTGGCCACGTATGGACGACGTGGTCATGTCCTGGCTCTTCAACACCATCTCCCTCGACCTGCTGGACGTCATCCACGAGCGCGACGGGGTCACGGCTCGGGCTGCCTGGCTTGGAATCGAGCAGCAGTTCCTAAACAACCGCGAATCCCGTGCCATGCTGCTCGACGCCGAGTTCCGCACCCTCGCCTAGGGCGCCCTCTCCATCGATGACTTCTGCCGCAAGATGAAGGGTATGGCCGACGCCCTCGCTGATCTTGGCGAGCTCGTCAATGACCGTACCTTGGTGCTGAACATCCTGCGCGGCCTCAATGAACGCTTTCAGTTCATGGCCCAGCTCATCCCCCGCCAGAAGCCGTTTCCGTCATTCGTCGACGTGCGGGCTGATCTGCGCCTTGCTGAACTCAACATGGCAACTCCCCCGGCACCACCGTCGGCCCTCGTCACTTCCTCGACCAGCAAGCCGCTCACCTCCGCGCCACTTCCCAGACCTGCTCCCCCGCGCCCTCCTCAGCCGGCCGGGGGGGCCTCATCTGGAGGCAACCGCGGTCGCCGCCGCCATGGAGGCCGCGGACAGGGTGGTCACGGTGGACAGGGTGGTCCCAGTGGCCCACCCGGAGGGTCCCAATGGCCCTCCATCTTCAATCCTTGGACTGGGTCCATTTACATGTAGCCTGGCTCCAATCCCGGTGGTTCCCGTGGCCCTCCACCCCACATCGGCGCACAGCAAGACCTGCTGGCAGGCCATGGCGCACAGCAGGCCCTGATGGCCGGTCCTAGCCTGTACCCGGCGCCCCCGCAGGCGCCTCCGCCGGCCTGGTCTCCAGCGCCACAGGCGCCCCCTTCTATGTGGTCACCATTGCCATGGGATACTCAATCCCTCGCCAGCGCTTTTAGTACCGTCTCCCTCAACCCTCCACCGAGCACCTCGAACTGGGTGGTCGACTCCGGTGCCACCTCGCACATCGCCTCCAACCCTGGTATGGTCACCATGTCACCATCCTCTTCTTTTCCCCCCTCCATCATCGTGGGCAACGGTGCCACTCTCCCAGTTGTTGGCACCGGCTACTCTACTATTCTGGTCCTTTTAAATGCAATAACGTTCTTATCGCTTCGCAATCATTCGAACCTCACATGCATTACGTCAGTTCTGCACCGATAATCATGTTTCAGTTGAATTTGACCCTTCTAGTATTTCTGTGAAGGATCTCCATACCAGGAACGTTCTCCTTCGATGTGATAGCTCCAGGCCCCTCTACACCCTCCAGCTGCCGTCTTCTCCTATCAGTCCCTGCACTCTTGTGGCAACACCATCATCGACTACTTGGCATCGACGGCTTGGTCACCCGGCAAGGCTGTGCTTCAGAGCCTTGTTCAGTCCTCTTCCATTGCCTGCAACAAGACCGAGGACGACTCCCTTTGTCATGCTTGTCAACTCGGGCGTCATGTCCGTTTACCTTTTTCTAATTCCTTGTCCTGTGCATCAAAAAAATTTCGATGTTATCCATTGTGATCT